CAGGGCCGGCCCTGACCTGGGACAGCATGGCCCCCCAACCTCTATTCCCACCCCTCCCCCCACATCCCCTACACAGCCAGGGCTCTAGTCACCTGGGAGTGCTTGTTAGCAGGTGGGTGAGGTGGGCTGGGGCACCAGTGGCACAGCTGCCACTTACTAGTTGTGTGATCTTGTGCTACTGTTCCTCGCCTCCATTAGAAAGTTAAATCATGTGGAAAGACAATGTAGAAGAACATGTTGGAGAAATACCAGGGACCAAGTAAAGGATCTCTGGGAGCACCCAGTACTAGAGGAGCCAAAATGACAACAGAGTTGTGATCCTGCTTATAAGCTGTTGGGCCCTGGGCCTGTTACTTCCACAGGCTTCCTTTTTCTCAGTGTGACGTGGGGATAGTGCAGTAACTACTAACTTTGTAGCACTGTTGGAGAATTGAGAGTTCTTGCCTACGAGTCATTGGAACAGTGCCTAGCACTTGGCAGGTACGGAGCAGTTAGCAGCAGCAGTACCAGCTCGGAGATCCAGCAGTTCAATAGGAGATGGAAGGCAGAGGTCAAAATTTTGACCTCACACCCACAGTGATGGGATGCTCTTCCTTTTTCTCCTGAGTGTACTCCACCCCATCGACACAGCCCTTTGCTTATCAGAAACCCACCCTTCTTGGGCCTCATGGGCTTACTCTCTCCTCCATGAAGCTTTTCAGCCCCCACTTGGGAAACACAGTTGATCACATGCCACCTTACAGACAGGACAGGACAGCCACCTCCCTGTACTTCACTTCCTTGTCAATTAGTCCATCTTTGATTAAGTGTGCTCCTTCTAGAAGGCTTACTGTCATTACCATTTTAGCCAGGAAAACTTGATGCCTTGTATATAGGGTTTTACTGCTTGAGGATGCTAATCGGATGCAACTGAAAAATAAATGATATCTCTGAGATTTGAACATGTTTCTTGTTCTCTGTGATGGAGCTAAGCCACTAAACTTAATCCGTCATGATGATAACAGCTCTTTTCCTCCCAGAGCTGATGAAGGGAAAAGCCAGTAATTTCTCAAGTGTGATAGATGTCCACCCTCTCACCTGGTGTTTTATAAATATATTGTCTTAACTGTCTATTTAAGTATCTGTGCCTGGGAGGGTAGCTTCCTCTGTTTCATGAAATGCCAAGTGATACCACTGTGATATATAAATAATGATAATTAGACGACAGCTTCAAATTATTTGACATCCAGATTGAAGGGAAAAGTGGTACTTTTTTTTTCCCCCTATAATACCCTAGAATTTAGATCAGAAATGGCATTCAGGAAAGCGTATTACTTCCTGTCAGACATGGATGGCTCAAAGCTTCTTATATGTGAAGTACAGAACAGGCGCATGCCAAAGCACATTGGGACATCAGATCTGGGCCAGGCCGTAAGGACTCGCCATCCTTTGTTTGAAAATAACAGAAATAGACTAGGAGCCAAAGAAGAGGGAAATTATTTTTATCTGAAAGTCCACATAAAGTATTTAATGTCATTAAATGACTTCACTTCCCAACCTCTGGCCTGTTTTCACAAATGTCAAGAACCATGGTTTCCAGAAGTTGGTTCCTCCTGATTTGGTCTGCTTTAATATCACCTCTTAAATTTTCAAGGAATTCTTCCTTTGTTGTGGCTCCTGGTGGGTGAATGTGAGACTGTTTGTTTACCTACTTGAAGGAACAGAAGATTAACAATCAGAAAGGCAGGGTTTGATTTCCAGCCTTACCGCTTAATAGCTGTATGGCCTTGGGCAACTATCTAACCTTCATTTTATTTCCTCCCTTATAAAATAGGAGTAATTTTATCACAACATCCTGGATGTACATACTATACTAATTTACATCCGTGTGCAAGCCATCATTCTAAATAACTTACTGTCAGCATGCCATTTAATAGATAAAGAAACCCAGGCCCAGAAAGGTTAAGTAATTCACCTCTAGTCACACAGCAAATAAGCGATATGCACAAGGAACAGGGTAAGATTAGCCTCCGATCCAGAACTTGTTGAAGGTAAGCTGTGAGTAGGGCACCAGTGTTGACTGTTGTGTAGATGACCCAGCAGCCCTCCCCAGGGGGGGAGGAAGTGAGGGCGAGGGGGCAGGCTGCAGTGTCCCCCTTCCAGTGCCCTTGGTTTCTCTGCCCCCTTCCTTTTCTGCCCTCACATATCCCTGATCTTTTATTTTCCTTCAGTCTCTTTCAAATCCATTTCCTTCCCTTTCTACTGACCCCACTCTCCTCCGAACTCACCTCGTTTGTATCTCCGCTTTTGTTATGACACTGGTATTTGTATCCCCATTACCATTCACTCATCCATCTCCCATTGGTGTGGCAATAGCTCTCGGTCTTCTGGCTCTAACAGTTCCCTGTTGGATCTGTTCTCATCTGTGCCGGTCTGCCTTTGTAGTAGAACTTCTCGGTTCAGAAACCTGCACCTCCTCACTGTATGTCAAAGTGAGGGCCACACACTTTAATCACTTGCGATGCTGTGGGTTGTGACAGATAACCAGCTGAAACAGTGTAAGAAAAAAGGCAAACATAGAGGGTGAATCTCTTGCTTCAGGCAGAGCTGAATCCAGGGGTTTGGGCCATATTTTCAGAGTTCATTTTGAAGTATGTGAGAGCCCCCAGCAGCTCAGGGCTCCCATCTTACCGAATGAACTCCTCAGCAGAAAGATGGTCTCTACCCTGATGCGTCTGACGTGGCCAGCCTGCCCATCAAGAGTCACTGTGGCCTCGGCTTGGGCCCAGTGAGATAGGTGTGAGCCACAGGCACCTGTACTGCTTCCTGTTCACAGCCCCCCCCCAATCTGGTTCTCTCAAGTGTTCTCAGCCCTCCTCCTGCGTTGGAGGTCATTCACTCCCCGTCTGCCGGATGTGCTTGCTCGATGCTTTAACAACTCTGCCTTGGCTTATGCTGGCTTCCCTTGATGTTCTTTCCTGCCATCTCTGTTTATCAGAATCATCCCAATTTCCCAAGGCCCAGCTATAATGTTTTGTACAAAGCCTTTCCTTTTCCCGAAACTGGTGAAAGGCATTTCTTGCTTTTCTGTGTAGCATGCAGACGGTTATCACTTAACTGCCTTTTGCTGTTTCTCATCCCCATCTTCATCAGTGCTAGCGCTTTCTTCATCGGCCATACCTTTCTAAGGTCTTCATGTGCACAGAGCATTTGGACATTGATTTGTCTAATGGAAAAGCCCATAGAGGAAGCAGGCAAGATACCTTTACCTTCTTTTTGCAACTCAGCATTGCTTGAACACCAGCTGTGCACCAAGGCTAGGTGTTGACGTGAAAGATATTTTAAGGTGGTGGCATCCAGATGCTTTATTCTGATTTTACAAATGAGGAAATTGAGGCCTAGTAAATAAGTGGCCAGGTGTCCCACTAACCATTGTTTTTAGCTCCCGGAACATGCAAGCTCTTTGCTACCTCTGCACCTTTTCAAAGGTATTCCTTCTGCCTGGAATATTCTTTCCACTCTCACGTCTCCTAACCCTATCCCTCTTTCAGGGTCTAATTAAAATGTCATTTTTTAAGGGAGGCTTCTGTTGACCATCCTCCACCCCACCCCTTATCCTCCACGTTTAAAACAGGTCTGCTCGGGCACCTGGGTGGCTCAGTGAGTTAAAGCCTCTGCCTTCGGCTCAGGTCATGATCTCAGGCTCCTGGGATTGAGCCCCACATCAGGCTGTCTGCTCAGCAGGGAGCCTGCTTCCCTTCTTCTCTCTCTGCCTGCCTCTTTGCCTACTTGTGATCTCTGTCTGTCAAATAAATAAATAAAATCTTTAAAAAAAATAAAAATTAGAAAAAATAAAACAGGTCTGCTATTCTGTCTTCTGGTACTTCTGTTTTTCTTCATAGTGGTAATCACAAGTATGTAATTATTTCACTTTTATAAATGCATTGTCTCCCCACTAGACTTTGTACCCAGTGAGGACAGGGACAATGACATCTTTGTTACCTCTTAGGCAGCCAGTGTCTGACACCAGAGGCACTCAAGAAATAATGTGTTGAATGAACAAGTGCAAATATCAGCCATTCTTGCAGCTCAGCAAATGCCAGAGCAATGTTAGAACCAGACTGAAGCCCAGGTCAGCATAACCCCAACTCTTACCACGTCCTACACTGTGCCCACAAACAACCTCCCCTACTCAGTTAGGGTAGTTAGAACTCTAGTTCTTTGTATGGGTTCCAAAGACATTAGCACTGTTTGATGTGTGGGTATTTAGGTTATGGAGGGTGGGTATGTGTTTGGATGGGTGGACAGAAGGGATTAGAAACAGAGTGACTTGCAAACAAGGTGCTGGGATGACCCGCTGAGGGAGATCAGAAGAGGGGGATCAGTGTGTGGAGGCCTGGGGAAAATGAGGCTCACGTAGTAGGTACCTGCGCTGCTGTAAAGGTCCTAGAAGGCTGTTGGTGGTTCTTTACTTGAGCTGAGATAACAGAACTTTAACTTGTACCCTGGTTAAGATCTAAAAATAATACCCTATTCTGAGTTCTTGGAATAAACCTTCCATTTTGGTGAGTCTGGAAGAGTTTTTGTTTTTATATTCCTATCACATTATATTGGAACACTTTCATTATACATGAAGGCAACTTTTATTCTTACACCAGAGTGAGCAGCCTGTTACTATAGCAATATTGAAATTATTTATATACAGTGTCTTCTACACACTCCTTGCAAACTGTACATAGTGGTTAGGAGAAATGGGCTATGATATCCAAAATTGTTTTCTCTCTTACTTCCTTTGTTAAACTTCTGTAAACTTTGTTATAACTTGATTTTTTTAAATTTGAACCTCTTATTTTTAGGAAAGATTAATTTAGGGGAGTTACAAATATATCCCACCTATCAAACATTGAAAATAGCTCTGAAATAACTTCAGTTTTGCTGTGAGCACCATACAGGTACAACTGCTTCTTGAGATCTTTTTCAGATAAAGGGTGGAATCATAGATGCCCTCTGTGTGTTTGCAGGGCCTGGACAGCTTCAAAGTAAAAGAGAAATTCTTCTCAGGGAGCAAGGAGCCAGTGGCCGCCTTTCCTGTGCCATTTGACCTGCCTCCAGAACTGTATGGAAGTAAAGGTAGGACACACATGAAGGGAGATCATGGGTGTTATGTATGGAACAGAAACAGTGCCCAGAAGAAGCCGTCAGTCTCTCAGTGGGAGGTTGGCTCACAAAATACTTCGGAAATGCAGGTTTGCAGAGGCCCCTTCGCTGCCCTGTCTCGGGCCACTAGAGCTCTCCTTCTCAAACTGGTTGGTCCAGGAGCCCCTCTGAACTCTTACCATTATTAAGGACCACAAGGAGCTTTTACTCACATGGGTTTTTGTTGAGATTTACTATATTAGACCTCAAAAACCAAGAATTTTTTATATTAGTTTTTAAAGTAATAAACCTATTTATTTATATATATATATATATATATATATATATACACACATACACATATACACACATATACAAACACATATATATGTTATGTATGTATGTACATACATATGCGTGTGTGTGTGTGTATACACATATTTGGTGTTTTTTTATTGTCAAAAAAAAGTGAGGAAGGTGGCATTATCTACAATTTTTGCAGGCAGACCTCTTTACTCTCTGAGTTAATGAAAGACCACTGAATTCTCACAGCTGCTTAGTTGCAGTATCACGTCACAAAGCCTCTATACATTCACGAGAAGTGAAGATGACAAATAATGGCTTAATATTTTGATGAAAACAATTTGACTTCACAAACACCTCCCATCCTCTTAAAGGGGAGATCCCCAGGCTGCCCTCAACTATGACTTTCTTAGAGGCAGTGAACAAGTATTTTTCATAATAGAAAGTCATTAGAACATTGGTTCAGGTTCATGGTGTTCTTGGAGGAAAGCTGGCTGGTATGAGTGGGACCAGCTCCATCTCAGGTCTGTCCCAGCCCCACAGCTGCACTTGTCTTAGCCCTAGAATGTCTGTCTTTAAAGCAAATTCATACTTACCAGACTCACACAGCAGCAGTTGTAAAATCAAGACATGCTTATTAATTTAAAATGGCAAAAGGTATATTATAATCAGCGTATTTTCCAGTGGAAGGCAGATGCCTTCACAGATAGCTGGATTATAGTCAATGGTATTTGAGTAAATTCTGAATTTGAACAGGGAAAATGTGATTTTTGTTTGGAAAGTTTTAATGACATCATTGCATTAATATTCCCGAATCTCTGGTTCCTTAACAGAGCCAACTGTGGCACTGGGTCCCTTTCTTCCCTGGGCGGTGCTAGATGGGCTCCAGCTACTCCCCCACCCTTACTTGCCCTTCCTGGTTTTGGTGGTAAACCAGACCTTCCCCTTCCAGTGGACCTGTTTCTTCGATGGTGTTGACTTTGTTGGATGTATCCATATAGTCTCATGCTGCCTGGTGTGCCGCCGCCTATGGCAGGGGACTTTCTAGAGCTATAATCAGTTGTCTTGATAACAAGTTTAAGAAGTGTTCTTTTTTCCTTCTTTCCAAGCTATGTATATTTGAGTCCTCTAAATTTGTATATTTATGCATCTTCATTTTTTACTGGCAATATTATATCGGTTTTATCAGAATTTCCGAGAATCGGTGCCCCCCACAACCCTCCCTGCACATACAAATGAAAAAGAGGGCTTTAGAATTAGGCTGTATTTGTGTGCCAACCTTGCAACTTATTAAGTGACCTTGGGCACTTATTTTCTTTCTTTAGGCCTTAGTGTCTCTATTTGTAAAAATGGGAAAATAAGAGTGCCTACTTCGTAGAGTTTGTTGAAATGAGTAACCAGGATGCTATCTGTAAAGCACCTAACACAGTCTTCTAGTGCAGAGTTAGCAGTCAATAAACGTTAGCTGTTGTTTCTGTTATTTAGAATATCCAGTTCAGTTCCTGGCATGTAATAACCGGTGTTCATTTTCTCCCCTTCCCCTTGCTGAGCTGATAATGAAAAGAGCCTAAGGCCCATGTAGGACAGTCCCTGAACCCACCTAGTGTCACAGGACCTCACTGCGAAAACCCTCTCCTTTCTCCTTCCAGCTTTGTGCTGTAGTTTTTTCTCTGTCTGTTCATGTTCTTTTTTTTTCCCCCCATCCTCAAACCTGAGTTCTGAGTAAGCTTAGTGGAGGTGGGGGACAGACGCACCATGAACTGACTGAGTTTGACTTCCTGTGGTCTGGCCTTGGGCTATATACTTTCCACCCCCAGCCCAGAACCTTGGCTGGAATTCCACCTCCTCCACTTAACCGTAATCTCCAAAGGACTTTGCAAGCAAGAATGAAAGAGACAGAGGAGCCTTAAAAATATCCTGAGGTTCCTTCAGTTCTGATAGAAAAAGCATTCCCAAGAATTTAAAAGTTTACAACGGGGTAGTATCTTAGACTGTGCAGTGATGAATCTTTTATTTGGCCAGCAAGCAGAATGTTTTCTGTTGTTCAGCGGCGTTGTCTGGGTATATACACTTCTTTGAAACATACATACAAGGGAGACTGGAGCATTGTATTTTATTTCTACACTGCTTCAGTAGCATGCAAAATGGTGCCAGTCACTCGGATATCACCAGTTCACATGTAGCCAGCATTCCAGGGACTTCTACGGACTAGAAGAAAGGTGTCTTACTAAGACTTGGGAAAGTGAGTAGTTAAGAACATTTCAAAAGCACTTTGTTTGGAAATGATTTTCAAACCACTGTAACATGTATAAGATCATGCTCGTTATATTTTAAATCTGAGGAACTGTACAGAAAGCTTAGCAAAGAAATATACTGCTCTGAACCAATTATAGTTTATTACAAGACACCGGCAGACATCCTGAAAACAAGAAACTGATCAAATAATGAAGTAAAACACACACAGCTGCAGGTCCACCTTGCTTTACGCAGGACTTGCTGCTCATCTGCTCTCTCCACAGGTATATTTCTGCTGTGTGCAGACACTGTCTAGGTCCTTGGAATATGTCCTTGAACAAGACAGACACAAGCCCCTGGCCTGAGGGAGTCTAAATTACTCTTTCCTGAGAAGTTATACCTAACCAAACTCATGTCACTAATAGGAGTTGTAGTTTTAAAGGAAATCTTTCAGATCCTCTTGTAGTTCATAAGTGTGATGATTGGATGTTCACACCAATGTGTGACACGTGCCTCCCTCAAACCTTGTTATGACCTCAGCACATTACCCATCTGATGTGAGGGAAAAAAATCTTTTATAAAGCAGAATCACCACATTTTAAATCTTACTTCCATATGTTCCACTTGTTGTATGACCCTGAGCCTGAAAAGAATGAAATAGACCAGTATGTGATCTCTCCGGAGCTGTTACATGCCAGAGACATCTGCTTCGTACTCCCTTTTTGGCTTATATTCTTTGTATTCTCTGATACACTATAAAGAGGGTAAAACAAGGTAAGGTTACATAAAACTTATCTTATTTGGACTTAAAGAGTAAGTTATATATGTCAAATTTAAGAATAATTGAAGTACAAAGCTTCAGAGACCATAGTTATGTTAAGTGACCTGGGTTGTTCACGTGGTATATGGGAACAGTTGGCCCTTGCACAGTGCCGGGGCTCGGGGCAGTGACCACCAGTGCAACTGAAGATCTGCATGTAACTTTTCACTCCCCCAAAACTTAACTACTAACAGCCCACTGTTTTGTTTTGTTTTTTTTTAATTAAAGATTTTTATTTATTTATTTGACAGAGAGACCACAAGCAGGCAGAGAGGCAGGCAGAGAGAGAGGAGGAAGCAGGCTCCCCGCTGAACAGAGAGCCCGATGTGGGGCTCGATCCCAGGACTCTGAGATCATGACCTGAGCCGAAGGCAGCGGCCTAACCCACTGAGCCACCCAGGTGCCCCCTAACAGCCCACTGTTGACAGAAGCCTCACTGATAACCTAAATAGTTAACACATATTTTGTATGTGATATGTATTATATACTTTATTCCTATGATAAATAAAGTAAGCTAGAGAAAAGAAAACATTATTAAGAAAGTTACAAGGCAAAGAAAATACACTTAAGTATTGTATGTATTTTATTGGGGAAAAAGCCCACATGTGAGTGGACCTTTGCAGTTAAACCCATGTTGTTCCGGTCAACTATAGTATTCTTTTCTTTGAATTTTTTAACATAATGTCAAATTTAGAAAAATGTTCTAGGAACAGTATAAAGAACTCCCATATTCTCTTCACCCAGGTTCCCCTTCACTTACATAATCTTCCTTTCTTATGTTAACTTTTTTCTGATCCATTTGGAAGTTGTAAACAAGATCTGTGAAATCTCTAAATACTTCAAAATATATTTCTTAAAAATGTTCTCTTACATAGCCACAGTAGTTACCAAAATCAGGAATTAACATTGATTTAATACTATCATCTACAGAACTTATTCAGATTTCATCTCTTGCCCCAATAATGACCTTTATAACAAAAGGGAAGTTTCAGATTACATGTCATATTTGTTTAGCAGTCTCTTTAGTCTCCATTAATTTGGAAAAGTGCCACAAGAAATTTTGTGTGTTTTATGTTGCTGACACTTTGCTGAGCACAGGCCAGTTAGTTTAATAGACAGTGAGGGACATTGTATATTTGGTTTTCCCATTGTTTTCTCATAAATAGATCCAGATTATGAACTTTTGCCAAGAACACCACAGAAGAGATGTTGTTGTTGTTAGTGCATCGTATGAGGAGTCACATGATAAAATCTGCCTGATCACTGATGAAATCAGTATTGATCAGTTGGTTAAGGTGGTATCTGCCACATTGTGTGTATCTTTTACAGATTTAGTATATTTTAGAATTTAAGTTTTAGCTATATATGTAATTAGCTATATATGTAATTGCTCAGTAGGCGAGGTCATTGAAACCTGGCTGGCACACGAGATACACGTGATCTAGATTTAGCATATACGTAGTGTATATAATTTAAAGTTCTTTAAACCATGGGCTCCCAGATAATTTAACCATTCCGCCTGCTGCTTGATTCATTTGAAATAATTCCTTGAATTTAGGTAATATCGTAATAAACTTCAGTCTAGACCTGTCAGAATTATTGCTAAATAGCAGAGACCAGATTCATAAAGTATTTTTGTAAGGACAATAGCTGATTCAACTTTCTAATCCAAAGAAGATGCAAAAGAAGTGAGCAAATGCTTAATTTCCAAGGACCAGTTTTTGAACGATCTTTAGAAATCTGGATATTTTTTTTTTTTATGAGAGCCAGAAGAGGTTTTTAGACATTATTTTGATCATCTCCTTTAATAAAATCTATTATTGTTTCATAGTACAAACAGAAGACTGACAACAAACTTCCAGCTTAGCTTTTAAAATTACTTTGTCAACAGAAACCTTTAGGAAATCTAGAACTATCAAAGTAAAGTAATTTTATCAGATGATATTAAAATCAGTACTTGGTTTTTAGCCATTTGAATTATTCTTCCTCCCACTGGGTAGATTGTTCTCTTGTGCTTTTTTTAGTCACAGATTAATACGGGAGATCTTCACAGAGGAGAGTATTAATGGGCTTCAGATAACACTGGTATCCCAGTTACCAAAGATTGCATCTCTGCTAGGTTGGTAACCCAGTGTAAAATATTTTGAAGCTTTCCTTTGTAGTGTAAGCTGGCAAGTCTTTTGTACATTTGTTGATTTCAGAGTAAGCTGAAGTAAAGTGGCATCACTTAGATGAACTAAGGAGAAGTTCATCTCTTTGGGATCACACACACGCGCCATATACACACACTTTGTGTCTGATACAAGGAAAGAATTAAAGGCAATTGCTCAGGTGATAGGCAGCAACTTCTATAGGTAGGTAGGATATCATGTTCCCTTGAAGACAGTGGGAAATGTGGGTATGGGTGTTTGGACATGGGCATCCAAGTCCCAACTCTTTAACACAAGGGCCATTTCTTAGAGGATTAGAGGCTAGGTAGAATGGGATATTGTACTTGGGTTTGTCTGGCTGCTAAAAAAACCTGGGAGACCTACACAGCATATAGGGTAGTGACAGTACTCACCCACTATGAGCTGAGGGTGGTGGTCATTATATTATAGCAGCTAGCACTCATTAAGTACTTATTACATGGTAGGAGCTGCTTTGAGCACTTGACTTGAATTTATGGGATCCTAACTGCCCCCATGACACCAGTACTAATATAACCCCTACTTTATAGACAAGGAACCTAAGCACTCAGGTCAATTTGGTCAGGTCCCCATGGGTAGCCTGTCCATGTCCATGTCCATGCCCCCTTTACCGTCACACTGTGCCACCTCCCCACAGAGGGCTGGGTTCTAGAGTTAGAGATGTCAGATGCACGCAGTCCTCAACTGACCAACCACGAGGACAGATGGCATAGACACAGAGTAAAACCCCTCGGCTGTCCCCTCATCCCCAGCCTTCCTGTCGTGGCCTTAATGTTGGCCTCACTGTGTCTCCCCTAGACGGCACTGCCTATCATCTCCCCATTGTTGGTCCCCTCCCACTGGACATCATCTCCCCTGCTGCCATGCGTCTCATGTCACATCCTGGTTTAAATCCTTCCATTGTATCACAGCAGAAAGCAGCTCATCCCATTTAGTTTCTGATCTCGGACTCTGTATTAAAATCGCCGTTAGAACTTGGTGAGAATGTGTAATGCCAGGCCCCAGCCCAGACCGACTGAAACAAGCTCCCTTGAGGTGAGCTCTGAGGAAACGCTCCGGCAATTCGCACGTCAGCCAGGTGCGGGAACCACCACGCTGATGTGGTGAAGTTCAGAATTCTGCCCCCATGGCCTGCCTGCTTGTCTGTCTACCCTCTTGGACCGCAAACTGAGAGGACGTCAGCTTTGGCTAGCAGAGCACCTGGCATCTAACCAGCACCAACAGATATTTCAGATACATGCAGGACTGTTTCATGAGGCAAGCTTTTCTTTCATGGGATAATTTAGGAGGATTGCTTAGAACAGGCTTTCATCTAAGCCAGAAAGTGTTAATGCTGACTTCCAGTAATGGTAGCAAGACAACAGAGTCAGGGCCACCTCCTACCTTCCTGTTAGCCCTTCTGTGTCTCTGCCCCAGGGTAGTGGTGAGCCTTGCAGCTGGCATGGCACATGGTTAGCCCGTGGGTATAGGCATTTGCTCACTTAGCGAGCAGTGTGTCTAGGGACTCGCCAGTGCCGCTTGGTCATCGTTGGCTGATTGTGAGGGAGAGGAAGAAATCGGTGGCGGTCTCTGAGTTGCTGGCTGGCTGGCGGGTGTTTGCATCACGAACCCTGCCTCGGTGAAGAATCTAACAGCTCCTTACCTAGCAAGGATCTGGTGTCCTTTACCTTGGGGATAAAGTGGAGCATATGTTACCCAGTGGGGCAGTTTGCAGGAAAAGATGGGAGAAGTCCGGCCACAGAAGACCGTGTTCCCGGGGCAGGAGAGCCAGTGCTCGGTTCAGGCCAGTGGGGAGTCTCCAGTGCTGCGGAACCTTCAGCCTTTTATGAAGCAAGCGTGTCGCACAGGTGCAGGATTATGGCTCTCTCACGGGCTTAACAAGCTAGCTTCAGGCTTTCACACCATCTCAAGGCCAAAGACAAGAAAACGGGCTTCTGCTAACTTGTTGCCATCTTTAGCCTTCTTTCCCTGCGTGTCCTGCAGGGTGCTGCTGTCTGCATGCTTGCGTGCCGTTATTCCACACCAGGGACGGTGAGGAGAACCTCCTGTTGTTTGTCAGGTTGTCCTCTGAGCTGCCATCTGCTTCTGTTCGGGAAGAGGAGGAAGCTTCCCCAAGAGTGGCTTAGCAGTGCTGGGCAGTGGCTTCCGCCGATGGTACCTCTCACACCCGTGCTGCGCGGCTGCCTCACTCTGGGCACTCACCCCTTCAGAGCTGTTGGAGCTCTCCTCCCTATCAGGACAGTTACGTGGAGCTTGATTCCTAACCCTGGGAGTGCATTTACACCCTACGCATACTGTTGTTCTTTTGAATTGGTTTGATTCCAGCAGTAATGATGCATGGTAAAAGTGATCAGTTTGTCAATTTCTGAAACCCCAGTTAAAAGGGGATGGGGGGAAGTTCGTGTTTATTGAGCACCTACAATATGCCGGGAACTTCCACAGGTGTTCTCATTTATGTTTCACAGCCCTCCTGAGAGGTTACTTACGTAGCTAATTCCCATTTCACAGCTGAGGAACCCGAGGCCAAGATCCCAGTGTTTTCCCGAGTTTGCAGAGAAAGACAAGGGCAGGACCTGAACCTAGGTCTTCAGTGTTCTCCGTTGTGTCTTACCAAGGCATGTTGCTTGCTTCACCATCGATCTACAGTCATTGTGCAGAGACCTTCATGCCTCATCAATTATTAGCCTTTAAGGAACAGAACAAAACCATTTCATGGAGGTGAACGCGGGCCTCCTGATTATATGTGACTGTGACAGCTGAGAGCAGTATGCCGTCTGTTGCTGTTGGTTTCTCCAGAGTTGTAAGACGTAACAGCTGCCTTTCTCTGCCGGATGCCCTCAGACATTGCATGTGTTAATCTCACTTGCCCGTCCTGACAGCGCCGCAGTCAGGTACACAGAAGGAAACTGAGGCTGACAGGCAAGGTGACTGGTCAGTGTAAGTGGCAACCCTGATTTCTGCTGGCCGGCTTCCACTGTTCACTCGCCTGTGTCTTAGCACAGACCTTTGCCAACAGCCACTGTCTGAAATGGGCTGTTGTCTGGGGTTGCTTCGGGGAAGGTTCTTAAGGGGGTGCTGGGTGGCACAGTTGGGTAAGTGTCCGAATCTTTGTTTTGGCTCAGGTTGTGATCTCGGGGTTGGGAGATTGAGCCCCACTGTGGGCTCTGGGATCAGCACAGAGTCAGCTTGAGGTTCATTCTCTTCCCTTCCCCACCCCCACATGTGCTCACATGCACGCACTCATAAATCTTTACAAAGAGGGGAGGGGTTCTTAACGTGTAAACTCTGACACGTGGGTGGTTTTATCCTAGTGGGTAAGTGAATTTTTTGTAATCCTGCCTGTTCAAATAAGTATTCTACAACTATAATGTGTTTTGTTTTTTTCCCCAGATCGGCCATGGATTTGGAACATTCCTTATACCAAAGCACCAGATACACATGGGAATATGTGGGTTCCCTCCTGAGAATCTTAAAGCACTATGAAATTTAGGTGCAAGACATCAAGCCCCAAATAATGAATGTTCTTATTGGTGCTGGATGTTTACCCTTCGAGTTTTAGCTACACCCTTAACAAAACTCTGCAGAGCTCACTCTTGTGAGCACGATGCTGGTTACACCTTTGATAGTCATTAACAGTGTCCCTTAATTCACTTTTTTAAGCTTCAGAATGAAAGCTATCAAACTCGACAATGTTGAATATAGACACAAAGTCATCCTCAAAATGATACATGGAATTTCACCGTGGTGTTCGCTCTTCCGAAGTGAAGACAGACTATGTGTGTTGTACTCCGTCCGTCCTGCTCTTCAGCCAAGCAGGGGAAGAATGTGACCATTTGCTTATCACCCGGCCCTCCGCTTTCTGAGTGTTGTCTCGGGGCTGCTGGCCATGAGGCTGCCCATGTTCCTAGCCTGTCGCTCAGGTCAGTGTGGCTACTCTTCTGACACACGGAGTCCTACTACCTCCCATCGTCCTGCAGCTTCACGAGGCTTCGCATCCTGGCACTGTGCTAGCTGCCTCTCTGCTTACAGATGGGTCCTGCCATTTCCTCGCCCGTCCCCAGAGCAGATGGGTGTCTTTCATCCCCTCAAGTTTCCAGAAGAGACAGCTCACCGAACCATATAAAAGCACAAGTATGTTCCTTGCACGAAACCCTGAAAGGTAACCTAAATTGGTGCCTTCAGCTTACAAGCAAGGAGACAGAAGCCCAGAAAGGCTCAGGATGCCCCCCACATCACAGCTGGTTTGGGTCCAAGCTGTGAATGTTTCCACTTTAAGTACATCTGTCCTTTGTACTTAGGAATCCCGTTCTCCTAGGATGATGGAGACCTTCTTTTCCACATGAGGCTGATACCCAGTTTGTCTCCACCCTCTTTATCTTACAACTTTCAAGAGTTGTTGAATATTAATTTTGAAAGATTTCTGAAGATACCTTTTCAGACTGTTTCCCAGGCCTACGATTTTCACCTTAGGACCTGGCAGGGCGGAGCAGCGGTGCTGCCATAGAGAAGTCTGGGAAGCCAGCTGCGGACCCTCTACTCTGCTGTCACTTCGCTTTACCTATTTTATATTTTGGGATTCTGTAAAGGATATTATCTGGGATTATGTGTGTATGTGTGCTCACGCTGCTTTAAAAAAAAAAAAAAAAAGTTGAAAAGCCACCGAATTACTCCTCTTACCTGTGTAGTGAACCTGTTATACTAAGGCTTGAACCTTTCAGGACCCCGCCTTTTACTTCCCAAAACGTGCAGACCCTCATCACATGAGCCGGGAAGGCATGGGAAGGCCCCCGGGGCTGGCCCAGAGCGGGTGCCCTGCAGTCTGTGTGTCCATAGGCCTTGCAGGGGCCCCAAGATTCTCACCACCATGGTGGTCCCATCCTGGGTGGGGGTGGGGCAGCACCACAGAGGCGTCTCCCTCAGCCGTGTCACCAGGACAGTGAGCAGGCCGCCTGGGCCCTGTGGGATGGGTTCAGCTACTCGAGAGGACAGCGGCAGCTTGACAGCGGTCACTGGTTGAGTCGGTCACACAGGTCCATTGCTCATCCGATCCAGGTCACTGCAGAGTGGGTCGGAGCTTGGAGTTTGAATGTCTCCTCTGCCACTTACAGCTGTGTGACCTAGACCAGTTTATTTAACTTCTCTGTGCCTTGGTCCCCTCAACTGTAAAATGGGAGTGGTGGTGGTAGTTCTCCTCACAGAGGATGATGAAGAGTGGTGAGTGAATGCGTGAAGATACTCCGAGCCCGCACAGCGTGAGAACCGTCTGGTGATTGCTCCTGCTGCGGCCACAGGTGATCCATTAGGATTAGCCTCCTTTTCCTAATGAGACTGGGACTCAGAAAGGTGTAGCGCTTGCGCAGGTTCCTACTTCTAGAAAATGTTCTCCCAGTATTTGAACTGGGTCTGGCAGGGTCCAAGGCCTGTTTTCTGCCAGGTGGCCCAACTCCCAGGCAGCATGGTATGTGAGGAGAGGGATGGTTTTTACCCCCCAGTGTGTTGTGGACAAACACATGTACAGAATCAGGTGCTTGGATGTTACAGGACTGTCAGATTACAGTGGAAGTTTCTAAATGCTTATCTTCTGTACTCCTCACAGACCAACCCTGGCCCATGGGCTGTATTTCAAGTAACGTTCCTCTACACTTCGTGGGGACCCAAAGGAGCCCCTCGGAAACAGAAGTTCCAGAATGGGTGGCTAGGTACATCAAGATAACATTAGGGGAAGCCCATGGTCAAGGGTTATGCACTCAGTGGTTGTCCAGCTGTTAACATTAGCCTTCTGTGCCCTTCACCCTGGTTAGCATGGACTGGAGGAAGACAGGCCAGCATAGATAGGTGGTTCATAACATGAGCTTTCTGGGTATAGGTGATAGCACACATGGAAAACAAGGCCCAAGAATAATCAACATGGGAACCCAAAAAGCAAGCAGTTCTGCCGCATCTGGTCCTTTTTAAAAATGGGACTAACCAAATTACCCAAAGTGCTACAAAAAAGCATCATCAAATGTGTCTGTTAATGTTTGAGGAAATTCCTTTATTTTCAGGTTGGGGTTCAACAATTATTTCTCCCTGATTCAAGGAACACTCATCTCACCCTTGTTCTGCAGGTAGCTGCCTGCCACCTTTTATCGTCCCCCTCCCCACCTCCCCCTGCTTCAGATCCGGAAACACCAGCCAGTGACTGCATACCTGCTGAGAGCAAACATTCACATCAAAATTCAGCTTCTGCCCCTGCATGAAGTTCTAATAGAGGAGACTTGTTGGCTGATGAAGGAGGGTCTCAGCCTGCGGACAAAAGGAACCGCTGTCTTTCTGTGGAGTTCTCTCATGCTCTTTTGAAAGCTTCCCTAATGTCCTCTTACAGAGATGGACATGTAGCCAGAAGTCTAAACAAGATCTTCATGCTAGATAATGAATTTCAACAGAATATTCTGAATGATCATTTAAAATTAAGTTTAAAATTTAAAATTAAATTCTGTCCCTACACATAGTGACCTAAGTCACTTGCCATTTTGGCAGGAGGATTCCGTGTCCCCTCCACTTCCCACATTCTGTCTTATAAAGAGGGGAATGGGTCTTCCCTCAGCTGCTTTTGTGGGGTGAAGGAGGGAAAGAGGGATTTTATTTATTTTTAAAGATTCATTTATTTTAGAGAGAAAGAGGGGGAGAGAAACAAGCAGACTCTGCCCTGAGCTCGGAGGCTGGCGCGGGGCTTGATCTCAGGAGCCACAGATGAACCTGAGCTGAGACCAAGAGGCAAGCACTTAACCGACTGCGCCCCCTAGGTACCTCTAAATTATTATCACAATCCTGAGAACAGCTGCCTGGTTTTAACTATAGTTGATACAAATCGTCCTTAAAATTGGCTAATTCGGGAGGCTGTATTTTTCCACATAAGGTAATAGCCCGTGTTTCCAGAGCTCTTCTGTGCCTCGACTCCTGTGCTTGAGTGCTTCACATGTAATCCTCACATCAGCCTGCTGTTAAATAACATCCATAAGGTTCCACGGTAACAGTGGAGCCCAGCTTTGTTTTCCTGGGCTCTTGTGTAGAAGTTAAATAGTTCTCCTTAATAGAAGTTACTGGTATGTGACTTCCAACACATGGTTTCTGCATCAGATTTGGTATGCTGAAAGTAAGGATCTTAGGTTCCATTTTGTCACAACTTTTTTCCACACAAAATTAGCTTACTTTCTAGGGAAATGACTTGTTTCCCATTGTAAAACCATTTCTGGATGATCTCGATGTTTGGTTCAAATCTTAGGACATTTTACTTTCTCATAATCGAAAAATCAGAGCTGTAACCACTTCCTTAAAAATACTTGCTTTTGACTGATGAATACCTCAAAGAAAAAGATAGGCATTCTTTATTTACATGCGTAAAATGTAATTGTATTGATGAATGGTACTCATTATGACAATAGTGCAGGAACTGAACGGCAGAAATAAAATAGCTTAAATATTACATAGGATTAAATCTAAAATTCTGTTGATAATGCGCTAAATACATGCATGCATGGGTCCCACTATAAAATTTTTGACAAGTTTTCCAAGTTTAGTAGCCCACTTTTTTTTTTTTAAGATTTTATTTATTTATTTGACAGAGATCACAGGTAGGCAGAGAGGCAGGCAGAGAGAGAGAGAGAAAGGGAAGCAGTCTCCCTGCCAAGCAGAGAGCCCGATGCGGGGCTCCATCCCAGGACTCTTGAGATCATGACCAGAGCTGAAGGTAGAAGTTTTAACCCACTGAGCCACCCAGGCGCCCCTAGTAGCCCACTTTTTGTTAAGCAATATCCAGGACAAAAAAGTACTACAAACAAAACCGCAATTTCTTATTGCATTTTTAGCAGCTAGTAAGTTACAGGACTTAAGTTGCTCTTATAGGTCTTCAGGGGTAATACACAGTCATTTGCTCCTGGGAGATGCCAGCTGTGCCCACAGCCAGAACCCCACATGGGGACAGGTGACCATCTGAGCCCAGACTCCACTGGGCCCCGAGTAAGAACACTGACCAGCGAGTACAGAGCACTTGGAGTGCGCCAGGTATTGCTCGTATTTTCGGTGTATTAACGAACCAAATCTTCACTATAATAACCCATTAATAACCTATTACTGTAGCCATTTTACAGATGGGGAAACTAAGATTATTTGTCCAAAGTCCCACAGCTGGCAAGGGCAGAGCTGGGATTTGAGCCCAGGCCGTGCTGCTGTGAGGAACCAGGCAGCAAGTGCGGCGCATGTTTGTGGCGCACGTTCCCAAGCTCCAGCCCAGCAGCAGGCCTCACGTACAGGATGTATAACAGTAGCACAAAATCAGGTACACCTTCATCCACTGCAACAGCAAATCCTAGTTGGCGTGACTGAACCAGCTATGGGTCCATAAAATCAACCACTAAATGCAGCATTAGTATGCAGGCCCGAGTCACTGAACCTGACCGTGGAACTGGTTCCTTTCAAGTGAGAAAATCAACAGCTGAAGACATTGCCACGTTAAGTACGTTCTATGAACGTCTCTGACTGAAACCTGATGTTTCCATGGACTAGGCCTAAAGCAGAGAGCAGAAGGGATTATGCCAAGTGTCAAAATGCTGGGGAGGGGGCGCCTGGGTGGCTCAGTGGGTTAAGGCCTCTGCCTTCAGCTCAGGTCATGATCCAGGGTCCTGGGATCGAGCCCCACATCAGGCTCTCTGCTTGTCAGGGAGCCTGCTTCCCCTCCTCTCTCTCTGCCTGCCTCTCTGCCTACTTGTGATCTCTGTCAAATAAATAAAAATAAATTAAAAAAAAAAAGAAAAAAAAATATTAAAATGCTGGGGAGGAGGAGGGTGCCTCATGCAGTAACGGGGAAGGGGGGGTGGTTAGTGAGCAGACATGGGGCCAAAGCAACACAGGTTAGGTCAAGTGCACTTTCCATGCTTCACAGAGTTCTAAGCAAGTCCATCTCGAGTATGCTGTGTTCTCTCAGGCCTACCAGAAGGCCCACTGAAACTTTAACCAACACTCATCAGTCTAAGGCACTGGTCCCTGGTCCCTTTGTAGCAAGCACTCCACTGTGATTAAAAACTAGAAGGCTGGGTCGCCTGGGTGGCTCAGTGGGTTAAGCCACTGCTTTCGGCTCAGGTCATGATCCCGGAGTCCTGGGATCGAGTCCTGCATCGGGCTCCTTGCTCACCAGGGAGCCTGCTTCTCTCTCCACCTCTGCCTGTCTCTCTGCCTGCTTGTGTGCTCTCTCTCTCTTCCTCTCTGACAAATAAATAAAATCTTTAAAAATAAAATAAAAACTGGAAGGCATCTGGACCAGTCTTTAATATACAGGGAAGCTCAGAAGGGAAAAGGTGAGGGAGAAATTGCATCCATAGGGAATTTATTACAGGCATAGTCAATCATCGGTAACTATACACATCACACTGGGGCAGGTGACACCCCATTTAGGGAAGGTAAAATAAGAGTCAAGGTCACAAGTAGCATGTGTTCCCTTCTGGCCCCAAAGACACAGATGATGCCACTGTGCGTGCTCTTGGTAGCTCTTTGCTCATAGGTCCTTTGGTAGGTGAGTGCTGGTTTTGTTTTCTTCAGATAACTGACAAAATTTTAAAATCCCTACATATTTGTTACTCAGTAATT